TTAATTTGGGAAAAAGACCTAGTGAATAGCTTTTAGTGCCTTTAGGGAGATTGTTGGGCAGGGTCGACTGGAGCCTGACTTTTAGCTTTGAGATTTTTGGCCGTGTGAAGAACAGAACGAGCAGCAGAAGATGAGGGGTAGAGCTGAAACCACAGGAGAAGCTGATCAGGGGCACTCGGATGCAAGGACAAAAGGGAGATCCTAATCCTCATTTCTGGGCAAAAGCTGTGATTTTGAGCTGGGTTGGAAAAAGGTGACTCCAAGTACTCCATCGACTCCCGAAGAGCAGGAGGAAGGAAGGAGGTCAGGTGAAATCAGGGATGGGTGTAAGAGGTGAAAAGGCTTGAGAGAGTTGGGGAGGGTCAACCTGGAGAAGAGAAGGCTCCGGGGAGACCGTGGAGCCCCTTCTAGTCCCTCAAGGGGCTCCAGGAAAGCTGGGGAGGGACTCTGGATGAGGGAGGGGAGCCCTAGGAGGAGGGGGAAGGGTTGGACCCTGCAAGAGGGGAGATGGAGCTGAGCTGTGGGGAAGAACTTGTTTGGTGTGAGGGTGGTGAGAGCCTGGCCCAGGTTGCCCAGAGAAGCTGTGGCTGCCCCATCCCTGGAGGGGTTGAAGGGCAGGTTGGAGGGGGCTTGGAGCAACGTGGTGTGGTGGGAGGTGTCCCTGCCCAGGGCGCAGGGGTTGGAACTGGATGATCATTAAGGTCCCTTCCAACTCTGACCATTCTGTGATTCTACGATTCTATGAAAATGTGCTTTATGGTGCAAGGGGCAGGGAGAAGGTGATGTGAAGGAGAGAATCCCATCAGCTGCATTTGGCTTTGGGGCCCAAAGGGGACATTGGAGGGAATTTGAGCATTTGTGCTGCTGGACCAGGGCTGTGCAGTTCTTCTGCAGGTTGCCCATGGCCATCCTGTTCTATTAATGGTATGATGGGGGAAAACAGGTACCGGAGCCCTCCAGCTCTCACCACACGCCTCTTTCTCCACCTGAAGGATGGTGGTCTTCACATAGGGAGTGCCAGTTGAGTAGCAAAGGTCTCTTGGGGTTTTTTTTTTGGCTCTTTTGGACAGGAATTTGGAGGCTTAACGCAGCCTATTGTGCTGGGAGACTTGCAGGCAAGCTCTCCATGGCAACTCTCCCTATACACAGAGCACCATATGGCTTTTTCGGAGGGGGGAGGGAATGAATCTGAGCAGAAAAAGTCAACCTTTGTTTGTGGCGATGTTTGTCTTTGCTTTCTGAGCGCGGGGAGGTGGAAACAGGGAGTTGCTGTCTGCTGGGCATGGCTTCTGCTGGCTGCACCACCAGCAAGGGGCTGGGGGACCTCTCAGGTGGTCTTTCCTTGCTTTTTGTGGTGGAGCTTGCTGTGAAAACTAACACAGATACACCCCCCCCCGCCTCTTCTTTGGGCTGGGTGCTCTGCAGACAGATGGAACAACCGGTCTCATGCTCAGCACTACACCAAGAAACACCCAAAGGATTGGGGAGGCTCTGGGAGCACTGGTTTTGGGCAGGAGCTGCACTGGGGGGAGCTGTTTGTGCACTCTCTGCCCATGCTTGATGCCCCTGCTTCCAAAGGGAGCTGGGAGCCTTCACTTGCCTGCAAATCCTCCCTTTTTTGGAAGGAATGAGCAGAATAAATATCTTTATCCGTGTTTGTAGGAAAGCAGGAAGCTTTGGCATGTCTACTTGGAGGGGGAGAAAGAAGAACCGATAGGGGAGTGAGCAGAAGGGAGCAGGCTGTGTCTGGCTCCACCGCCTTCGGGGCGCTCTGCGGTTCCTGGGGCTGCCACGGGGTGCCACCAGCAGCCCTGGAGATGGCCTTGATGGTGGGTAGAGCTGTCACCGGGGTTCATACCAGCTGGGACAAAGAATCACAGAATTATCTAGGCTGGAAGAGACCCTCGGGATCATCGAGTCCAGCCATCCACCCTACTCTAAAGTTCTCCCCTACACCATATCCCCCAACACCACATCTAAACGGTTCTTAAACACAGCCAGGGATGGGGACTCAACCCCCTCCCTGGGCAGCCTATTCCAATGTCTGACCACTCTCTCTGTGAAGAATTGTTTCCTAATGTCCAGTCTAAACCTACCCTGGCGCAACTTGAACCCATTACCCCTTGTCCTATCATCTGTGACTTGGGAGAAGAGACCAACCCCCACCTCTCTACACCCTCCTTTCAGGGAGTTGGAGAGAGCAATAAGGTCTCCCCTCAGCCTTCTCTTCTCCAGGCTGAACGCCCCCAGCTCCCTCAGCCTCTCCTCATCAGACTTCTTCTCCAGACCCCTCACAAGCTTCATTGCCCTTCTCTGGACCTGCTCCAGCACCTCAATGTCTTTCTTGTGGTGGGGGGCCCAAAACTGGACACAGTACTCGAGGTGGGGTCTCACCAGTGCCCAGTACAGGGGGATGATCACCCCTCGGGTCCTACTCCCCATGCTGTTCCTGACCCAGGCCAGGATGCTGATGGCCTTCTTGGCCACCTGGGCACACTGCTGGCTCCTGTTCAGCCCACAGGCCACCAACACCCCCAGGTCCTTTTCTGCCAGGCAGCTCCAGCCACTCTGCCCCCAGCCTGGAGCGCTGCAGGGGGTTGGTGGGACCCAAGGACAGGACCCGACACTTGGCCTTGTTGAACCTCATTCCATTGGTCTCAGCCCATCCATCCAGCCTGTCGCAGAGCAGAGCCCTAGCTGGGCACAGGACCAGGGAGTGTCTCAGGGAGATGACCTGGCTCTTTGGATGCTCCCGTGCATGTCACAGCCACCTCTGGAGGTGGCCTTTGCCTGGGGTTGGCAAGGGACATGGGTGGCTGTCCCCTCTTGGTTTGTTTTTTCCCTGAAGCAGGTCTTGCTGAGACCCACTCTTGGATGCTCCCATGGATTTGAAACAAGGAGGATGCTGTCCTCATCCCCTCGGTCCTCCCTGCTGTCATCGAGGAGACTCTCAAATTTTGGGACAGGGATAACTAATGGGAAAACTGGCCGTGGGCTCAGATCTGCAGGTGGGGACAGGGTGACATCTGAGGAGAGGGAGAACACAGCCTGGAGATTCTTCAGTGCTAAACCCATCAGTATTGCCTGGGGTCGGCAAGGGACGTGGGTGGCCGTCCCCTCTTGGTTTGGTTTTTCCCTGAAGCAGGTCTTGCTGAGACCCACTCTTGGATGCTCCCATGGATTTGAAACAAGGAGGATGCTGTCCTCATCCCCTCGGTCCTCCCTGCTGTCATCGAGGAGACTCTCAAATTTTGGGACAGGGATAACTAATGGGAAAACTGGCCGTGGGCTCAGATCTGCAGGTGGGGACAGGGTGACATCTGAGGAGAGGGAGAACACAGCCTGGAGATTCTTCAGTGCTAAACCCATCAGTTAGAGCAGGAGGTGGCCTGAGGCTGCCTTGCCTTGAGCAATGAGGGTTTTTGCATTTTCCTGCCCTGCTTGGGGTACACACAGCTGGAAACACAGCTCATCGAGCAGCGGTGCCGGGAGAGCAGTGGGATATTGGAGCCATAAATTGCCAACAAGAGCACCTTTCATCCCGTGAAGCCATGACCCCGCCGTGTGCTCACTGGAGAGCACAGGTTTCTGAAAAAGCAAGTTGGCTTATTCCTGGGTTTGATTTAAATTCTAACCCCTGGCAGCCCCAGGCCCAGGATAAAGAAGGGCTCGTTTCTGGGTGTCACACATTCAGCTTCTCCAACCCCCTGGGCTGCCAGTACCCATTGGGTTGGTGCCTCCAGTATCTCCTGGGGCCCTGACTGTGTTTGGATTTAACGGGGAGCTGAAAGGGAGGGTGTTTGGGTGGGAAGGATGTTGCTGCAAAGCTGACTCCTTATTCAGTGCCCTAATCCCTTGCCTTTGTACTAGCCGTGCAGATCCCTTAAGGAAAAATGGCATTTTTTTGGTATCTGGACCCAAATCAGGAGACCTGGCTGGGACTTCATAAGGGCTATACCCTTAGAAGGTGGCTGTGTCAAAGCCTCATGTCCTTTGATTTGGACTGGAGCGTGGCTACGCTGCCAGCCTGCTGGGAAGCCACCAGCCCAAAGGAGCCAGAAACCAGCCCCTGCTTTTGTAGCTCCTCTCCCATCCTCTGCCTCCAGCAGCCGTGAAAGCAAAGCCTGTCCTTCCCCAAATCCAGGCGGTGGCCCAGCTTTCCTTGGATCACTGACATATTCCCTCTGCCCGGGCCAAGTTTATCGACATCAGACAAAAACCCGGTGCCACAACGCCTGCAGCTCCGAGGCGTGTGGTTTTTTGAGCCTGCTGTTTATTTTTGGGACTGCAGCATCTGATCTTGATTTGGTGTTTCCAGCCTGGGATCTGGGTCGTGTGCTGGATCGGGCATTTAGCTGGTGCTTGAGGGAGCACGGGGAATTTGTGCTCCTTTCCTCCGTCAGAGAAATGCCGATCTGCTCAGCTGCAAATGGGTGTTTGGGGGTGGGAGGAGTAATTTTTTTTTTTTTTTTTTTTAAGAATTCTCCTTGAAAACCTCCTATTTTCCTGTCCCCCTGGGAGGATGGCTCCCGATGTGGCTGGCCACGGGAGGAGCAGTAGCTGCTAAAAGCTTCGGTGCAGCCTGCTTTCCCCGCCGTTCCCATGGTAGTTGGCTGTCACACATAGATCTAATGTATTCCCTGCCCACAGCAGGATTAGAGCCTTCTGGGAGAAGAATTAAAAGAGGATGCAGGAAACGGGGATGGGGAAGAAACCAGGAAAAGGAGCGGAGACCATGGCAGGGTAGGGAGGAATCCAGGTGCTAGTCCCATCAGAGCAGTGAGGGACCTCGCAGGACCTCTGCCAGGGACCTGCCTTCCAGCCGAGGAGGTGGTGGGATGCCTGGGAGCAGAGGGCCTCTCTGAAGGCACCGGTGCGTGCAAGAGCCAGTTCTTGTCCTTCTGCTGTTGTGTCTCTCAAAGGTGTCTTTCATTTGAGGGTGCACGTTGCCTTTTGGTGATTCTCTCTCTTATTTTTTTTTAATGTATTTTCTTCTGCAGATCCCGACAGCCAGTTGTATGATATGGGATATACCCCTGAGGAGGAAGCCCCGGCCTGTCCTGATGAGTTTGATGACTTTGTCACGTTTGAGGCAAGTATGAACTCCATTGTGAACTCCAGCTGTGTGAGACACGAGCGGGAGGGTTTGGCTGGGGGAGAACATCTGCTGTGGCAGGGCCCAGGGACACTTCACGTGTGTTAAAGACAAATTCTTTAATCCTTTAACCCAAGAATTTCCACCAAGCATTTGGTGCTGTTTAACTTAAAATTGGTGTTCAAGCAAAAACCTGCAGCTGGTGCTGTCTTGGCGTGCAGAATGCCAGAGCACAGTGCCCTGGGTGAAAGAGGAAGATCCTCCTTATGGTAGAACCCAAGGAACACGGAGAGGGTGCCTGCTGCTGTCCTCTTTGTCCCATTGCTGGAGTTTCTGAGTTTGGAGAACCTGGGCCTGATTTTGAGACGTACCAACCAGGAGCCTACCTGAGAGGCACAGCAGAGCTTTCTGACATTGGCACTCAGTGCTGTTTGGCCAGTAAAAGGCCAAGCAGAAGAGGAAAATGTAGATTTTTCTTTCTCTCTCTGTTCTTGGGTTCCATCAAGGATGCTTATCTGATGTGGGTTTTTTCCTTTTATTAAAGTTATGGCCTCCATCCCTCCCTTCCCGTCTATATTTCTTAGCACAGGAACATTTTGAAGTAAAATCCTCTATCTGTTTTTCCCAGCTAGAAGGGAGGCTGCTGCCATGGTGTCCTCCTGTCTGTGTTTTTTTGGATTTTGGGTTCTCCTTGGTAGGTTTCCTCTGGTCCAGCTCCATGTTTTCCTGCCTGGAGCAAAAGGTGCAGGAGATTCCTTCAGAGCAAAGGGCTGGCTGGTTCCCTGGTCCCACGTGGGGACCAAATTGCTTCCTTCTGCTTTGCCTTTTCCAGACTTTCCTCTTCAGGTTTTTGACTCTTGTGTCGTGGTGCCCTGGGTGGTTTTATCACACAAAGTGTTACTTGTGAAGGGACTCCCAGCCTCCTTTATATTTGCATGCAAATATATATATGTCTTTGCTTTGTGTGGACTGTAATACGTTATTTTGGCCTTGTGACTTCTTGCTAAAAGGCTCAAGCTGATCTTTTGAGTTTCCTAATGATAAATGGAGTGTTGGGCAACTGCTCTTCCCCGTGGTAGTGAGAAGCACAGGTCCATCTCTTGGCATGGCTTGAAGCTCTCACTTTGAGGACTCATCCTTGACAGTTGACCGGGTCATCATGCCCTTTCCCAGCCGGGCGTGGGTTTTCTCTTGAGCTGCTTTACTGGTTCCCGTTCTCCATCAAGTCAACAGACTGGTGCTGTCACCCCGAGCGAGTCCCTTATTCCCTTGGGACTGCCTGGGTGAACCCAGCCCTAAGAGCCTGCCATCCTGGGTTCCTCCCCCAGAAGACTTTCAAGGGCGTATTGTGTATTAGGTTATTTTTCCTTTTTGAAGGATAGTTAGAAAACCCAGCAATGGCCAGATAGAAGGGGGACAGAAGTGGGAAGGGAGATGGGTTTCCTATTCTTCTCTATCTGGTACATGGTCAAAAATGGGCTTTTTAACCGCTGGCCTGAGCGTTTTGGATGCTGTGACAGCCCGTGTCACAGCCTGTGTCGTGGTGCTCGTGCAGAAGGGCTTTGTCTCTGTGCTCCTCAGACCCGCATCAAGGAACAATCTTCTGAGATTCAGAGCAGGGATGTTTTCTAAGGGCTAATTTAACACAGATGAGCTCTGTCAGTGCTGTGAGCTATTCTGGGCAGGAATACCAACAAGCCGGGTGTGTGCCCCGCTGGGATGAAATACTTCTGCTGCTGGGCCATCATTGCCTTGAAACGACAAGGTGACCCAAAGGAAAAAAAGGTGATGAATCCTGAAATCTCCTTTTCAGAGAGATGTAAATGGATTCCTGTACTGAATTCAGGGGTAATCGTCTAAAGATCAGAGCTCTGTCGGTGTCTACGTTTAATATGCCAGGGAAGAATTACCCCTGTTGTCTTGGATACATGATTCGAAATAATTTCCAGCCTGCGAGGATTTCGTAGAGGTTCAGCAAATGAGAACATGAGCGAGAAATACGGCTCGAGTGTAAAAATAAATCGCTGTCTTGGGGCGCGAGGTTTTTTGTTCTCCTTCAGCTGAGCAGTGAGCTCCCAACGTGCGTTTTATTCCACATGTCCTGTAGTGCTCCTACCTTGGAAAGCCTGAGCTGTTTCGGGGAGGGGGGGGTGAGAGAAGCATCCTGCTGGGAGCAGCAAATGAGTGTTTTTTCCCCACTCTGCCCTCCCTGCTGGTGGGAGGGCTCCGGCAGGGCCTTCTTCGTTAGGTGCATCAGGCATCCCTTCCCTGCTGGTGGGGGGGCTCCGGCAGGGCCTTCTTCGTTAGGTGCAGCAGGCAGCTGCTCTGAAAAGAGGAAGAAAAATAAGACAGAAACCAGAATAAATGGCCTTTCCCAATATATATCCCACCTTGTTTGGATCCACCTGGAAGAGAGGAGGGGGAAAAGAGAGGAGGGAGACTCTGGATGAGGGAGGGGAGCCCTAGGAGGAGGGGGAAGGGTTTGACCCTGCAAGAGGGGAGATGGAGCTGAGCTGTGGGGAAGAACTTGTTTGGTGTGAGGGTGGTGAGAGCCTGGCCCAGGTTGGCCAGAGAAGCTGTGGCTGCCCCATCCCTGGAGGGGGTCAAGGGCAGGTTGGAGGGGGCTTGGAGCAACGTGGTGTGGTGGGAGGTGTCCCTGCCCCAGGCAGGGAGTTGGAGTTTGATGTTCTTTAACGTCCCTTCCAACCCAAACCATTCTGTGACTCTATGAAGAGCAGCCTTCCAAAACTGAAGGTGTTGCCTTTTCCTCCAAGGAGACCTCCCACACCACCAAAAGGCAGTTTGTGTCCTCCAGTGTCCCCATTTCAGCCCTGGGGAGGGGATGCACAGGGAGCACACAGCCGCTACGTGGGACCACCAGGCAGATAAAGAGGTCAGAAAGAACCTGACCACTTCTTTCTCAGTCCCCAAAGCACAGCTGGGGAGCTTCAGACACTGCTGAGCTTTGGCAGGGCCATGGGATGAAGATTTCTCCTCTCCTGTCCCATCAGAGGACACTGGAGAGGCGGAGCTGAAAGAGAGGTGTTGCATTTGCTGTGCCATGGTCCTGAGGGTAATTGTGGTTGTTGGGTTTGGAGCATGGTCTGTTCCCACTTAAACAGCACAAAATCGCAGCGTCTGGAGTGCTTGGCTCTTACAAGTGCTGGGGCCCTGACAGAGAGCTTTTCTCCTAAATGTTTGTTCAAACAAGTGTAAACAAGTGCTTTTCTAAATGGAAATGTCTTCTAGTTGTTAATAAGGTTGCTCTTCTCCGTGAGTCATCCCCTCTTCTGGTAGCTGTCATCAGAGCGAGCTGAACATCTGTGGAGAGCCCTGAGTGCCCAGTGGTGGTGTCTCAGTGAGTGTTTGCTCGACAGCGAGAGGAGCCAACACTTGCATCTTCCAGTAAAGGCGTAAAAACCTCTCGAAGTGGGCAAGGTCTGAACTTTGAAGCTTCGGGCAGGGACCTTCATAATGTCACATACTTCTGCAGCAAGATGCCCATGAGCCAGCAATGTGCCCTTGTGGCCCAGAAGGCTAATGGTCTCCTGGGGTGCATCAAGAAGAGCGTCACCAGCAGGTGGAGGGAGGTCATCCTGCCCCTCTGCTCTGCCCTGGGGAGGCCCCATCTGGAGCACTGGGTCCAGTTCTGGGCTCCCCAGTTCAAGAAGGACAGGAAACTGCTGGAGTGGGGACAGCAGAGGGCTATGAAGATGGTGAGGGGAGTAGAACATCTCTCTGGTGAGGAAAGGCTGAGGGACTTGGGTCTGTTTGGTCTGGAGAAGAGAAGACTGAGGGGGGATCTGATCAACACCTATAAATACTTCAAGGGTGGGTGTCAGGAGGATGGGGCCAGTCTTTTTTCATTGGTGCCCAGGGACAGGACAAGAGGGAACAGGCACAAACTTGAACATAGGAAGTTCCATCTAAACCTGAGGAGGAACTTCTTTGCTGTGAAGGTGGCAGAGCCCTGGAAGAGGCTGCCCAGAGAGGTGGTGGAGTCTCCTTCTCTGGAGACATTCAAACCCCACCTGGACACGTTCCTGTGGGACCTGCTCTGGGTGATCCTGCTCTGGTAGGAGCTTGGACTGGATGATCTCCAGAGGCTCCTTCCAACCCCATAGCATTCTGTGATTCTGTGACACGGAGCTTCTGGCTCTGGTTGCACCTTTCCAGGTCTGTCCACCAGACAGGTCCGTCCTAAACCTTTTTTCAGAGAGGATTTCTGGTTGTGTGGCTCTGCTGAGACAGCAGCTGGCGGGGGATTGGAAACCCAGGAGCCACGTGGCTTCTTGTGGGTCCAGCTCTGCTTGCAGGACATCATGAGGCATCAGAGTCCCCAGTGCTCTGCTGTCACACATGCAAGAGGAATCCCATCCCCTGTCCCCCGGCTCCTGGGCAGGGAGAACATCCCCTGACTGGGGTTACCTGCCCCCAGGTAGTGTCTTTGTCCCTGACCCAGGTGGGAACCTGCTGGGGACAAGCTTTCTGCTTTCTCGTTCTACAGGCAAACATCACCAAAAAATAATTGTGGCAGTTTTGGCTACTCTGCTTTGTAAAAGCCATGAAAAGGGAGCTTGGAGTCTGTCTGTCCTGACACCTGAGTCCTCACCTGTTGTCCCCCAGGCTGGGCTAGTGCAGCTCTGCTGCTGGCTAACTGGGAGGTGGGAGTTCTTGACTCCCTTGCAAGCTCCCGTGAAGCTCATGACTCAGTTCTGAGATGTTTGCAGTGCCCTGGGTGGGGAAAAAAGGGTGAATTTGGAGTTAGTTTTCATGATGCCTGCTGTGCCTTGCCCTAGGACAAGGGCTTTCTGTCCCCTCTGCCCTGGCTCCTGGGGGCAGATGAGCCCACTTGAGCCACACTGGGAGGGAAGGGTGACTCTGCCAAAATGGAAGCCAAGTACGTAAGTTCAGTGTGTTATTGGATTTAGGCTGGGATTGGAGATTTGCCCCTCTGCTCTGCTCTGGGGAGACACCCCCCCCCCAGTGCTGCCTCC